ATGGTTTAGAAACAAGCTGACAGATATTGCTTATGAAATTAATCATGTGCCAGTAAAAGTATGCGCTTACAAAACGGCATTCACAAGTGTTACGCGAACTGCGTGCTGAGGATGTGATTGTAACAAAGCCAGATAAGGGTTCTGGTGTAGTACTCATGAATAAGGATAAATACGTAAAGAAGATGATAGTCATACTCGAGGACACAACTAAATTCAAACGATTTGAGAGGGCAGAGGATGTGGCTGTGGTAGAGTCTCGCATAACTCGTCACTTAGATGTGCTTAATCTGCATCGTGTGATTGTAAGTGATACGTGTGACAGATTGAAGCCGACTGGCTCCACTACTCCTTACTTATACGGGCTACCGAAGATACATAAGAGCGGGATGCCACTCAGACCGATTCTGCCGATGGTAAACGCGCCTCAACATAAACTGGCTCGCTGGCTGGTGCAATTGCTTTCTCCGCTGCGAGAGTGGGTCAATCTACACAACCTCAAAGATACTTTCGAGCTTATCGACGACCTCGACATACTTAATGTATCCGACAAGGTCATGTGCTCGTTAGATGTGGAATCGCTGTTTACCAATGTTCCCCTGCACCAAACCGTTGATTACATTTGTGAACTAGCAGAAAGTTCGCGGTGTCCTCTACCGAAGCCAGTTGAGCTGCTAAGAGACTCATTGTTGTTGTGAACGGACGATGTCAATTTTCACTTCAGAAACACACCATACTGTCAGATTGATGGAGTAGCGATGGGCAGTCCATTGGGCCCGTTACTTGCTGATTTCTTTGTGTTAATGGTAGAGCGAGATATGTCGGGAGAAATACCTCGACTGCCGTACTACAAACGCTACGTGGATGATATTTTGGTAATTTGTTCATCGAAGCATCAAATGGAACGGCTGGTAACGCAACTAAATTCTGCGCATGCCAACTTGCGGGTCTCCTGTGAGGTAGAGAAGCAAAATTGCCTCCCGTACTTGGATATCCTCATCAGCCGCAGAGAAAACGGGCAGATTAAGAGGTCTATCTACAGGAAATCAACATGGTTCGGGCAGTATCTGCATATCACAAGCTTCACACCAATGCGATACAAGCGGACGCTCGTGAGAACCCTGATTAGCCGTGCCAGACGAATCTGCTCCGCTGATTGCCTGCCTGATGAACTGCAGTTGATTACCAACACGCTCATTGAAAAGGTTCATCGAGAAACAGTCAAGTGCGACCAAGGGACCTAGTGCACACGGTACCCAAGAAGCCTGTAACCATTGAACCGCCATTCATAAGTGACGTTTTCTCGTTGAGGACTACAAGGCGTCTGATCTGTGCCATGCAGACAACTTACTATGCCGCCAAGGTCGTTATCATTAACAAAACCCAAAAACTGCCACTTCCTTCTGTAAAAGAGGGTCAGCATATCGAGACCAAATCTCATTGCGTTTACCAATTTATTTGTGACTGCGGCGCCAGTTACATAGACAGGACCGATAGAACATTGTTTCCGAATGAAGGAGCATGTACCTAAGTGGGTTCAACGTTCGACCGCGCAGGAAACTGGCCAGAGTCAAGCTGCTTGTCTGCGTAAGCCACCAGCCTCTTCGATCGGCCGACAGTTATTGACCACAGGTCACCGAGTCGAGGTCACTTCGGCGTTCACAATCCTATTACAGCACACCAATTCTCGCCTCCTCCGTTTCGCAGAGGCGATTGCAATTAACCGGATTATGCCGCTGCTTTGTGTTCAGAAACAATTATAAATAAATAAATAAATAAATATTTTATTCTCGACTATGCGAGGCACGCCCATGGAGGCATGATCAGGTAGGTGCAACTGTACAGACACTTTATGGCAATTGTAACAGCGATAGTAGAAAATTGTTCATACGTTCATGATTGGAACTGTACAATGGTGGAAATGTGAAATAATAATTGGGCTGTCGTGAGATCGGGACCCGTTTGTAAGGACATAATCGGTCTGCCATATATTGCAGTCATACCTCAGCTAATAATAGATTAAGAATCCTGAATGATCCATTAGAAGATAATTGAAGAGCAAGATCGAGAGGTGTGACAATATACTGAGTTCGTGCGTACGTAACGCAATGATCAACAGTGATATCGTAGAAAGTAAAGAGACGACAGTATATGCGTGAAATCGTAGAAAGAAGAGACAACAGTATATGAAGATGTAAAAGTGACAGTGTAACGAACCTATCTAGAATGATGACGCTAGTTGACCTGCCAGTGTGAAGTTATAGACTGTGACTTTTTCGGTGGGGAGTCACATTCGCCACGTTGCAGTGTTGTTAAACGGACATTTGTGGCTTTTTATGGGAGAACACTTGTCAGGTGAAAACCCACCACGTCCTGAAACACTGTCGCTGATCCATTGAATGGCAAGTTGTAACTCGCAATGCTTCTTGTTGAGCGTTTATTTGTTCGGTTATTCGCAGTCAAGTTGCGTCCCATTTTTCCGTTGGCTGATGCGTTAGGCGAGAGCCTATTTCGTTCCTGGGTCCTGTTCTGTCCTGACTGAATGGCTGGGCCCGATTGGTAGGTCATGAATTGAATATTTTTTGAATGTGATGTGTTGATCGTCTGCAGAACCACGGAAAGTCTCCACGGGATATCCAATGAAATATGTTGAAGTGTTGTTGAAGCCCTGAAGGATGGGATATTGTCCCGAAAAACAAATCGGAGGTCCTCCCGGGGTAATTTGTAAAATGGGTTGGAAATGTAGGTATCCACGGGCAAAGCGGGGTAAAGAGCTTCGGTCAGCACTAGACTGCCCTGGGGATAGAGGTGACAACCCTGTCTCGCTTATCGTGTGTTAGTCTGTTTGCATCTACGTTTGGTCGCACCCTTCACTGAACAAATATTATTGCGAGTTATTGTTAAAGGCACTGATGAGACAATACGAAATGGGTACATTTGCCAGTCTTCGTCTTCTTACTGCGCTTTTCAAATTACTAATTGGAACTAACTGTTTCAAATAGTTCATGTTTTCTGAGCAAATAAGCCAAACCTCACAGCCGCACAAGAGGACCGCACAGACAGAGGCAATGTACACCCTGCCCTTCAGCTTGAGACTGACATCGCGACGACGCCAAAGGTGTCTCAGTCTGATGAATGCAAGACGGGCCTTTGCGATCCGTTGTGAGACCTTATCTCCAACACTGCCGCTTAATGTACATGTGAGTTCGATCAGAGAACAATCGATCCACCCAGTAGGGTGAATTGTCTTAAAAGTGCAGGGAACAGCCTCGGTCGCACAACGAATCATCTTAATTTGTGTATGTATATATGAACGGTATACAAGACGCCACAGGTAAAAACCATGGTAAAGCAATTTAAGATCACTTGCGACTAAATGGAAAACGGGTCAAAATTCCGGATTTTTCATACGTTTAGATCGGAAAAGACTGCCCGAATGGCATACGCTGGAAGGCTCAAAATATCGGCACGTCAATTAGCAGACTGTAAACCGTATCTAGTGACGGAATGAGTGCTCTGTCCAGTGACGTTAATTCTATTGTATTGGGGATAGATGTGCAAGCGGGATCTTTTTAGACAAAGTAAATCATGTGGTAATTCAGCGGGAATTCGCTCACATGTTTTCTAGTGGGCATAAGATTCTTCTCTCAAGAGTAAAACATAACACGCGTCGCATATAGATGCCTGAGAGTGTGGATTCGTAGTCAACTAAAATGAATTCGCGGCGTCCCTATGCACTGCTTCCAATAATACTGAGGTACATTAAGAAAAAACAACCGACAGTGAACCAGTGAGCTCTTGACGCCATTATGCTATAGTGCGCTTGAATATGAAGCAATGGTTAATTTTACGTACTAGTTAGTCACAGTCAACTGGAAAGCGCTACAACTAATATAAATTCAATGAAGAACACGATTTCTAACTGGCCAGTGACTTTTCAACATGATTCAAGACCAACAAGCACCAGCGGATGGTCTCCGATTCTGGTATGAATTTGTGAATAAGACTGCATCGTCTAAGTAAAGGATCGTATGCGTGTTTGGATGAACCTTTCCTTCCTGTGCGTAGCTATGTGCAGAATACAGTGTATCTATGGGGTGTGTGGATGGAGCTGCGAATGGTGCAGCACAAGCCACCCACAGTCCCTCTGTAAGCGCAGGCGTCCTGTGGAGGCCGTACCGATAGGCAAAGCCGGAACTGGATGCCGCCAATTATATGCTTTATATAACGCGGAACCTATGGTTATGTGTTGATGATGTCTGGGTAACCGGTCGTAAGCTGGAACAGCTGAGTTGTCTAGGCGCTGAGAAAGTTAAACGGAGCACCATGCGGCAGTCAGCCTGTTATAACGCTGTACCCGCAATCGACCGGTTGGTTCACGGCTGCTAGTAAATCTGCGCTCTTGCGTTTGCTCTGCTTGACGCCTTGGCTAACTCGACAGGAAGAAACAGAAGAAGACTCAGCCGACCAGACAGTTGTATTAGAACCGAGAACGCTCATATTTATAGGTCGGTCTCACCAATCTTCTAAGCACCACCTAGTGGATTTGGCTACTTGTCTTTCTCGTGCGCTCACGCTCTACACTTGACTGCCGTTCCGTCTGGCCAGTTCACTATCTTGCTAGGGCACGCCAGTCTTCGTCCGCTAACTCGGGGCATGACAACGTACATGATGTCTGACGCGGGATTTGGTCAGCTTCCGGTCAGACCTTGGCAAAACACGATGTCTGATGCGCGATTTCAACAGCTTTCGGCTGGGCCGTGGCAACACGCTCGCGGGGTCTGTCCCAGGCACGCTTTGTGGCAACCACGCGCGCATTGGCAATCAGCTTTCTCGCTCACCTGTCAAAGCTGCGCATAAAAATTGCCGCGCGTAGAAACGCAAAATTAGGTGTCAGCGGATATGTAATGAACGGACAGGTATTCGCAATTTCGAACTGAGTCGTGCAAAAAATCGAACTCACACTCAAGGCATGCAAACAAAATGCCGACGAAGAGGAAGAGTGATTAGAACCGCCTTTATTATCGCCTGCGTGTAACGGCCGAGTTTTAGAATCGTGTACATCGTGGAAAATAAAAGAGAGAGTAATGTAAGGAAAAATATACATCAAAAATCCACATGCTCCATTCCGATTTGAGAAGGGCCCCCAGCCTGCTTAACGTAGCGACGATATCTCTTGGACTGACTACTTTCAGCGGACTGTGCTCTCATCTCTTCCGCCATCTCTGCTAAATATGCCTGAAATGGAAAGGTTCGAAATGATGGAAGTAAGATTATCAACACGTAATAATGGCTTAAACGTACAAGGCCCATAGCCAATTACCAAACGATCTGGCTATTCCACAGAGTTTACCTAGAGCTAACTGAGCAACCTCGCGGCTGTCAAACAGCAGGAGGATATTGTCTGCACAATCCAGATCCACCAATTTCCCACCAGTTGCGAGTTGCTCTCAACTACATGATCGATGCGTTGTACATGGTTCTTGTCATAATATACTATGCGTACTATCAGTTCGGTCTGTTCTGTTGCCTTTGAGTCGTTTCTGCCATGAGTCATTACAAATAAATTGTGTATTATCGACAACGCGAGGCACGACTGCACAGGCATGATCGTGATATTGGGACAACGATTGATCGAGTGATTTACAAAAATGTAACAAGCTTGTCATATCTGTCGATCTATAAATGTATGTTGGTGTGTGGCTTGGGTTTGTAAATCTGCCGTTGCATTTTTGTCTGTGTTCACCTTGCCAGTGTCAGTAGGGTGATGGAAGTTTGTAGATTGAATACGGCTGCGTTGGTTCCGCACGCGCACAATGTAACACTGCTGGCCATCAGTCTTGAAAGCAGTGCTTTCTGTCTGTCCGTCCATCATCTGAGTTGAAGTGCCTTCGGAATGGGCTCTAAGCTGTCGATTGCACTGTTCGGTTTACTACGACCCTCACTGTCAGGCTTCGGTAAGTTGGAATAATCAGCAATGAGGTCCAAGGGCAGTTCAGTTGGTTTCCTCCTTTCTGGATGACGCAGCGTTGGGTACAGCTGATTTACAAGGCGGACCCAAGCTTGGGATCCGATGAGCACATCATAAATGATATCACGTTATCTCCGAGTACCGACTCCCCGGGCCTGCATCAGCATTACTTTACTCCGTGCCGTCCATTGTGAACTCTTGCTCTAGCTTGCGGTATGAGGACTCAGGATCGAGTCGGAGGATATCGGATGACATGCGGGGCCTCCTGCTCACTATCGCTTCTGTTGGATACACTCCGTTCGGTGCGTGCTGATTTGGCATGGGCCGGTTACAGACCTGGTTTAGTGAGACATCAAAATGTTTAGCCTTCCGACTCAGTACCGCCAGAGTATATTGCCAGAAAGTTCAACCTCCGTGGTATCGCCAAGTTCATCAGTTTAACTGGTTCACGGGATGGCTGAACATTCCCTAATGTAGTTCAAACGATCTCTTTGGCAACAAGACTAATTAGATCAAGTGATGAACAGACTCGCGCCTCGTCCATTCCCAAGCCCCTCATGAGGTCACGGTGAATTCGTTCGTTATTATTACGTAACCGGAGTCGGAAACCGCTTGCCATCAGTGGGGCTTTGGTGTTAATGACGATTCGTCCGGCGTTGTGCGCACACAAATAACTGATGCAATCGGTAAGAACACCATGTTCCTGATTGCGCAATATCCACCACTCACCAGTGGGCTTACTTGCGCGACTAAGGCACCCACCTATTTAGCCGTTTAATCGAAACATACACATATCGCTATTGAAGTCCTCTCCTTGGGTTGATGAAGTGGTTTAAGGGGATTCAATGTTTTGTATGGCGGGTTTCGCCCATACGCCGTTGTGGAGGATCGGCTGGCATGGAATTCGGGCTAGTGGCGACTGAGGTGCGGTGAGAATGTGTGGACCGCGGCGCTTTTCGGGGTGCCGAATGCTCACTGGGCGCAATATTGAAAGGTCTGCGCTTGACGGGTGTGGCGGTTCGAACCAGGTTGAGTGCGCGCGTGCCGCACATTGGCATCCTCACCGTGGCTGTGTGACGTGCTTGATAGAGCGCCCGAGGTTTCACTCGCCTAAAGCCTTTATTAAGCTGTTTTTCGACTGACCTCCTGGGAAATATTTCATATCATTGCCTCATGGTTCCCAGTGAGTTTTCTAAGTGAACGCACTTGCATTCCTTTACCCATCTATGTACGTGGTCTTTCTTTGCGCGCGATCACTGGAGAGTGTGAGCAGAACACGAGGCGTGCCATGACGTAGGGTTTCGCCGAGTTATAAGTCAAAATCTGTTGAGTGTAAGGAATCATCAATTTGACGGATGAGGACAGTATTGGCATATGCACTGTAATGCGCTATGTGCGGCCATGACATTTGCGGTAAGGCACTGCAGCGACTGTGAAACGATGAACGGGTTAGTGACACTTTTCATGTGCTGCTCTGTATGTAATTGCATTAGGCGGGTGGGGTTCGCACACCACAAACTGGCGCAGCGCCTACGCGGGGTTGGTGAAAACGCGAATCAGTATGCCAAAAGTACACAACTGCACTGTACTTGGTAAAGGTAATATGCTTGCTATCACAACCGTGGGTTGTGTTTGACCCTAGGTAATAACTATCCAACGCTCATCTGAGCGGCCAGGCGTAGTGGGACTCGCAGAGATATGGATGCATTCAGTTATACACCCAAGAACTTGAACTCAACGGTTACTCGTGCTTCTGATGCGATAGGCTAAAGAATGCCCACGGTGATGTCTTACTTTACATCCGATCTTCTCTGCGCGGGAGACTTGTGAGCGCCTACCGAAGTGACGATGGTTTGTGTGAGCTACTGTGGGGTTCCACCAACCTCAGGCGCGGAGAACTGCTTGTGGACGCAGTTTATCGCAGCCCCCTGAGTCGTTGTTTGGATTGTCTGCCCCATCTTCGAGCCCACATGAGTCGTCCACACTTGCTACTTATGGGCGATTGTAAATGTCCTCGAATACGAAGGCCTGATGGGCATTCGATGCCTGGACATAATGAGGTTGAAGCAAACTTCGTGCGTTTGGTACTTGAAACTGGTGCATCGCAACACATATGCCAGCCAACACGCATAACAACACGTTAAACCCCGTCCTGTCTCGACCTGATGTTAACGAGCTACGAACAACGAGTGCGTGACGTTCGGATGCTGGAGCCCCTGGCTACAAGCGAGCACTCAGTGCTCGTAGCTGATATGGAATTACCTTTGCCGTATTCACGTCCGCTGGAACCAGCTCACAACTACTGGAAAACGGACTTCGATGGTCTAGCTCGAGCCGTGAGCCAACTGAATTAGTCTCTTTCACAAGCTGCATCTGTGGAAGGTTGTTGGATATGTATAAAAGAGAGATTGACATCATTGTGTTCCCAATTTGTGCCATTGAAATATCGGAAGGTTGGACCGATTAAGCCTCATTAGTTTGGCAAGGAATATGGAAATCTGGCTCGGAGGCGGCGCAGACTGTGGGACAAATTCCTCCTCTCTGGCTCTGCCAATGATTACGAAGGGTATAAAAGTCAGCGGAAGCTTTGCAACAGTGCGAAAAGGAATAAGCGCAGACATTTCGAAGAGCAGCTCGCAATAGCCGCGAAGATTGCCCCAAAGAGAATCTTTGCTTACGTGAAGCGATGCCTGAAACCGGCAGGTGATGTGCCAGTACTGGATGGCCCTGATGGACAGCCCCTAACCTCCAGCACTGAAAGTGCGTCCGCGTTGGCGGTGCGCTTCGCTTCTGTATTTGCGAATGACCAGGTGTCTGTTCCGAGTTCGACGTGTACCGCTTTTACCGAACTCGACAGTCTGCATTGCGGCGTTGAAGAGGTATGTCAACTACTCGCCAACCTTGACGGCACCAAACCTACCGGACCTGATGGGCTTCGCCCACTGGTTCTCAAGCACCTTTCGACCATCATCTCTCCTGTCGTGACTGACCTTTTCAACAGGTCGCTGTCCGAAGGTTCGTTGCCGGTTGACTGGAAATGTTCGGTAGTGAAGCCTATTCCGAAAGGCGACGACCCTAGCAAAGTAGACAACTACAGGCCAATTTGTCTGACACCTATTTTGGCAAACGTTGCTGAGAAAATCGTGAAGAAGGGATTGCTGCAGTTGCTACAGTCAAACGAGGTCTTGACGCCCGCACAGCACGGTTTTATGCAAGGTCGCTCATGCATTACGAACCTGCTTGTGACAAGGCATGAGTGGTTGAAGGCAATAAGCAAGGGGAAGTCTGTCGACGTGATATTCATCGATTTCAGTAAAGCGTTCGACAAGGTCAGCTATGAGGTTCTCCTTCACAAACTCAGGATGTGCGGTGTCGGTGGCTCACTGCACCCGTGGATCCGCAACTTTCTTGTTGGACGAAAGTGGACGGTACAGGTCGACGACCATCTAACTGATTGGTACCCCTCTACAAGTGACGTGCCTCAAGGCACTGTGCTGGGGCCCACTCTGTTCCTGATCCACATCAACGATCTACCTCAGCTACTCCGGTCGCCATGTGCCTTGTTTGCGGACGACATGAGGATTTGGAGAGAAATCGACGCTCCCGATGGCTGTGGCCTACTTCAGCAAGGCCTCAACAGACTATCCACATGGTGTGTAGCAGTTCATCTCCCGGTCAACCCAGCAAAGTCTGTATTTATGTGTCTGAGAAGGGTGCTAACGGCCGAACCTACACCCTCGAAGGCCAACCGTTATATCCTACACCCCCGGTGAAGGACCTAGGTATACTCTCGCGCTACGATTTGAGGTCCGTGGACAACACGAACAGGCTATATCGTAACGGACTGGGCATGCTTTGGATGCTCAAACGTAGCTTCGGCACATGGTCTGAAGAGGTTGCCACTCGTCTGTTCTCTTCTATCATTAGACCAATGCTAGAGTACGGTTCGCCCGCCTACTTTCAGATTACCCGAGGAGAGGCACAAAAGATCGAACGGGTCCAACACGTTGCTACCAGGCTCATTCCATGTTTACGTGGCTGGGGGTATGAAGACCGGTGCGAGAAACTAGGACTTTACACCTTGTCCTACCGTCGGGTGCGAGTCGACCTCATTATGACCTACCGTATTTTACATCTCGCTGACTTCCCCATGCTGAGGCCAATGCTGCACTTACAAGGGCCATGCAACACACGGGGACACAGATACAAATTTGTCGTGCCGGATGTGAAACGTGTTCCCCATCCACCGTACTTCGAACGGAGAGTG